GTTAAGCCAACAGTGGAGACGGGGCCCACACGCTGGCCACCGTGGAAGCCATACAGGTTCATCTTGTACTTGTGGTCTGGCTCCAGGCCTGAGATGGTGACCTGGTCCTCATTCCCTGGCACCCTCACCGCCTTGGGCTGCCCATCCCCGTTCTTGTACTGGACCAGGAAGTGGTCAAACTGGCCCTCGGGGACAGTCCAGGAGAGGTGCAGGGAGTCGGGGGTGGCGTCCGTCACTGCTAGCTCTCCCAAGTGTGGCTTCAGAAGGGTATTGGCAGGGGGCTCCCCTTCAGGATCTGGGAATAGATGCAAACAGAAGCTTTCCTATTGCTATAAGAAGTAGTTGAGGCCCCGGCTCTCCTGGATTCAGACCAGAAGGTGGGCCAGCTCTATAAGCCTAACTTGAGACCCATTTCTGCTTATCATCAAACTTCTTGTGGTCTCCTTATGGTCTGTCAAACTTGGTAGGCAGCCTCTTAGCTCAGGGCCTTTGTAGTGACTATCCCCTTTGCATGAATGTTCTGACCCCAGATGCCTGCATGGTTCATGTCCACACTTCCTTTAACTCTTTGTTCAAATGTCACCTCTTCAGGGACAATCCTGATCACCCTATATAAAATTCCAATTCTCCCAATTGCAATGTATCCTCCCGTTTTTGGACCTGATCCCAGCAACAAATTGCAAAACAACACTTATGAGACAATCAGGAAACTAACACTACCTACATACGTAATGATATTAACGAATGTTCATTTTTAAAGAAAAAATAATAGTGTGGCTATATTTAGTCTTTAAACATTTTTTTAAATTTTAGTCTTTAAAAAAAATTTTAATGTTTGTTTATTTTTGAGAGAGAGAGATAGAGCATGAGCAGGGGAGGGGCAGAGAGAGAGGGAAACACAGAATCCAAAGCAGGCTCCAGGCTCTGAGATGTCAGCATAGAGCCTGACACGGGGCTCAAACCCACAGACTGCGAGATCATGACCTGAGCCGAGGTTGGAGGCTCAACCAACTGAACCACCCAGGTGCCTCTATTTTTAGTCTTTTTGAAAAGAGTAATACACTTAAATATGAAGCAATGAAGTATAGAGTGTCTGGGATGAGCTTACAACAGTATATCCATACACTGGAATACTATTTGGACAAAAGGAATGATGTACACCTACAGGTTACAACATGGAACCTCAAAAACACGTTCAGTGAAAGAGGCCGGACACAGAAGAACACATATTGGGTGATACCACGTGTCTATGTTCAGAAAAGGCAAATCTACAGATATAGAAAGTAAATTAGTGGTGGCCTGGATCTGCACATCTGCACACCAGTTTTCTTCTTGGGCCGAAGGAAAGTTCTAAAATTAGATAGGGCTGATGGTTGCACAACTCTGTAAATATACTAGAAATCATGAAACTGTATACTTAAAACAGGCGAATTTTATGGCATGTAAATTATATCTCAATTAAGCTGTTAATAAAGAACATATTCTGGTGGGGAGAGGGCAGAAAGAGAGTGGGATGAGCCAGGCTGGCCAGGAGGTAACATTAGGATGGCAATGGACACATAGGGTTTCATTTGCTATTTTTTTCTCTTTTGTGTGTAAATTCGAGTCGTGTATAGTAAATATTTGCTGAATGAATTAGTATTTCATGGCATTTGTTTCAACCACACACACAAAAAAGATCTTTCCAGAGTACCCAGGCAAAGCAGAAAGCCACAAATGGGTCAAGGTATCACTGCCTCAAAGGCTTCCACTCCAGACACCACATCACACTTTCCTGAGATGTTACTGGACAAAGGGTGGGTTAGGTGGGGTTTGAGGATCCTGGCTCTCCAGTGTAGGACACCCCAGAGCTCTACCAATGGAACCTTACCTGACGAAACCCAGGAGGCTCTTTAACCCTCACTCACCAGTCACGCCCACAGTGGACACGGGGCCCCAG